GTCAGACGACTTTTTCACATTCTTAATATCCTTGTAACATCTAATAATCCAGCAGCACTTTTCAGCTATAGATGCTGAAAAAGCCTTTGACAGGCTTGAATTGAGGTATTTATGAGCGCTTAATGTATTCAACTTTGATTGTAATTTTATAGATGATAAAAACACTATACAGCTGCTCTCAGGCAGTGGTTCAAACAGGGCAGGTTATCTCCAATCCTTTTCCTCTTAATAGAGGGTCTCGTCAAGGATGCCCACTATCCCCAATGTTATTTGCTAGCACAGGCCATAAGACCACATGATTGCCCCAATAATTATTTAAGATAAAAAAATCATAAAATCTTACTATATGCTGATGACATAATCCTTTAGTTTTCGGACATTACTAATTCGCTTCCTCAGATCATGAACCTTTTTTCTAGATTTAGTTTTTTTTCAGGATATAAACAAATTGGGAGAAGTCCCCATTAGTTCCTTTAAATGATGCAGAGAAGACTCCCTTCCCTAACTTACCTCTTGAGTGGCACACTTCAAAATGTACTTACCTTGCTCTATGCATTCCTCCGTGTCAGCTTTGAGAATTATGTCACACTTAAGAATAAAATACAGTCATGGTCATCTTTGAAATTGACGTTACAGGGGAGGATTGCGTTAGTAAAGATGAATCTAGGCTACTTGCCGTTTAATTTTCTATTCTCCATGTTGCCATTTTCTCCCCCTAAAGATTATTTCACAGAGCTCCAGAGGATGAATTCGAAATTTAAAAAACCTCACTTCAAATTGGATACCTTACTTGTCCTAAATCTTTGGGTGGCCCATCACTGCCGGATTTTATGTTGTACTATTGGTCTTTTCATTTAGTCTTTAAACTCTTGGCTAGATGAACAACCTTCACTTAATCATGTTCTGCATACACACAGTTCAGTAATTTACAGGAGTGACAACCACACTCTACAACAGAACACACATGGAACGATAATTTAGATGTGGTTGTTACTCCTGAAACTTCGGGATCTCCAGTCTTATCTGCAGGGATTCTTATGGTTCTTGCATTTACAGTTGAGATCTTCACTTAAGGCTTATGGAGTTCCTTGGGACAGACCTTTGACATCTCACCACATAACTCATTGGTTTGAATCGGGGAACATAGCTAAGGTCTCTATTATTTATGGTAGTCTTGTCATGGAGAAATGTGGAACTCTTGGTATAACTCGAATTTGGGACAGAGAGCTTGGAGCGCAGGATATTATACACCTTTGAAAATGTTTAGAATTAAACTTATTTCCAATGTATGTGTATCGGTTTCTCTTTTGTATATCTGTTATAGATTTGTTATCAGTTATGTCCTCAACACTGCATTAAGTCAGTGAAAATGTATTAGTGTTAATGCTGGTAACTTTGTTCGTAAGAAAAGCACAATAAAGTATTTGTCAAAAAAACAACAGCTCTGGTCATAGGATTTCAGTAGAAAAAACAAAAGATATGAACATAACAGACAAGAGCAAGAATGTTGTTCCCACCAACAGCACAAATTTTTACAATGAACAAGCCATTAATATTGAGTATATGAAACTTATCTTTTAAGACTGTCAGATTGTTATTTCTTTGCCAACGAACATTTTAAAATGATGCAAAATCGAGGTTGCGCATCTCTAAGAAAAAACAAGCATTGGCATTTCCTGAATGAATCAGAATGAATGATTCAATGACCCTCTCAAAAATACTTGTCACCTACTGTAATAATATAACCAACAGAAAGGGTCACTGAAAAATACCCACCAATAATGGCTTATGTGGTATAATTGTTTTAATAAAAACGCTAATAATAATTTAATACAGACATATTACAGAGGGGTACAAGTTGTGCACTATTACTCAACTCAGAATTTCCAACTTATATAGTGTAATGAGTTAAAAAAAAAAAAGAGGGTAAAATGGGTAGAAAAATGATTCCACTGATCCTGCTTATAAAGAGATTTTTTAAAGAAGAGCATGTCGTGCTATGTCTGAGTTATAAAGATACCGGCCATATTTTGGTTCCAAGTAATACAATTAAAAAGGGTTGCAACAATAGATTTTTTTCTTTTACTTTATTTTTCTTTTGTATTCAAAGTGAATATTGACAATAAAACACCATGATTTTTTATTCACTCACCAAAAGTCACCTGGAAATTCAGTTTAATGTGACTAAGTAGAGAAGGCTTGGTCACATCTTTATTCACTGAGAACTAGAGAGGAAACATCAATTACACTCTGCAAAGACATTATATCCAAAGGGTTACATTTCCCCAGTCCTCATACTGTTAAATATTGCACAGTGCAAGTGCTACGTGACAAACTAGTGTAGCATCAAACCAGATAAGCAAATTAAACGAAACGCTAAAACAAAAGTTTACACATATCAAAACAGTGAATAACAATTTAATTTGATCAACTCTTAATTAACCAAGTAACTGAAACATGAAATACATAACTTGCAGTGTGAAGTAACTTCTTTGACAGACGATAAAAATATGATATAAACCGTGGATCTGCTTATAGACAGATTGAAAAGCATAACACCAGGAAGTGAATTTCAGGTTGAATGGTAAATAATTTAGACAAAACTATTTTGCCAACATAATTTCCAAAATAAAAATGGTGGTGTTAATGTTTACTGAATACTGTTATTAGAAAAGTTCAGCAGAAACCGTCCATATCCATTAATTTGTTTAAATATGAACACACAATAAATATTGAAAGTGTTGAGTACAGTTTTTTCGATATTGACACGGGGTGTATTCAGGCTAAATGCTGGTGAACGCCATATCACAGGGATCAAAACATGCACAGGGTGCAACATATTAACATTCTTAATGAATCAAAATTAATATCAACAAGGCTTTTAATCTTTAAAATGAGCTGACTAAGATTAACTAGAAATATATCAGTGATTTAGAAGTCTATTTAATATCTATGAAAAAAAAAAAAACTTATATAACCATTTCGATCCCTGGAATGGTAATTTTACTGTTTGTTCTTTCTCGTATTTGGTCTGGTCAGTGGGTGAGCTGAATACTTGTTTTTGCAAAGTGAATGTGTCATTACCAATATCTCAATCAAGGCACACACTGTGTTGCTTACACTGATCAAGGGAAAAAAAAAAAGGAAAAAAAAAAGACATGACCAAACATGAATATAACATCAGCTGACATCAGTGATCATTTGTTTAAAAACATGTTCTCAATTATCAAATGACAAACATTAATAAAAATCACAATTCAGTTGGACAATTAATTTAATCACAACACTGTACTCTCATATCAAAGCATGGCCATGTGGTTACTGCACACTAGACTTTTAATAAGTGCTCAGTGGCATGAGGTTATGGGGCTGCTTATCATATTAACCAAAAATTCCTTGACAAAAATACTAATGTTTGTATTTCTGAAACACAGCAGAATAACTTTTAAATTGGATAAAGTTAAATCAGTCCTGCAAGCTATTACAAGTCAAAAACACAGATGAACAGGTAAACATACACAAATTAAGTTAAACAAATTCATCCAGTAATATGCAGTGATGAGCCAGAACGGTTATGAAGATACAATACTGATTTGAAGAAAAAAAGAAAAAAAAAGAAATCTACATGTCCATTATCAGCAATACAGTAGTTACGATGACACTCCAAACATTGAAGCAAAATTACTCAAAATCAAAATCCACTTCTAGTTTAGGCAATCAGAGAGACTCATACAAATAAACAAATGCAGTTATGAACTAGTCTAATCTAATTTCACAGCTATCTGAAGTGGCAATCAATATATAGCAGCTTGTCTATGATACATTCAAGATAGATGATACGATTTATTACTTGTTCAAAAAGCTAAACATAACCTCAGCCATTTTTTTAAATACAATTTTAGAAATTTACCCCATGACTATAATTACTACAGTATATGTGAGGTCTATGCAGAGAATAGCTACCTTGCTCAGAGAAACAGCTCTGTTCCAAAACCCAGCGAGCTGCCTTGCGTTCTGCTGACTTCATATACAGCTAATACATAATAGTTCTACATAAGCAGTAACTTCTCGCAAAGAGGCTCCACCCACAATTGATTACAAAATAGAGTTTGATGTTAGCAATGCATGGTGCTAAGCTAACAGCTCTTACTCTTGTAAGCAGAAAAAAATGGCATGTTCGCCACAAAAAAATGCATTTTGGATTGATAGATTTTTTTGAGTTCATAAATTACCGTAGAAATCACCGCCAATTTTATGATAGGCAGGATTCAGTTTATAGCACTTCTCATGCTGTATCCGTAAAAATGATTGACCGCCGTACAGGGTTGCCAGGTCTGCGTAACAAAACTAGCCCAATAGCCAATCAAAAATAGCCCAAAAGTAGCCCAATTACCATACCCCAAATATCAAAACTCAAATTATGCCATTCTCATCCCTAAAATACATATTTTAAAGTTACTGTTATGCAAATTGAAAACCACTATATCATAGTGATCATAAACAGCTTAAAGGCTCCCTTTCCCAGTGGCCCTCCTTCACAACACTTAACATCTAGCACAGTTTTATCATTAATAGATTTAAAAAAATAATAATAATATGAATGCAATATTTCAATGAATGCAATATAATGGTATAATAAGATCAACCCACACCAACATGGCAACCCTGCCATCATACAACTCTGACAGTGATTCAATGATGGCAAGCCTATAATATGATTGGTTTAAGAGGCACCATTGACCGTTAGGATTTTTGCAATGGTAGAGCCACGGAGGATGATTCTTTGTTTAAGAGAATCTGACAGCCTTTGCATCGGGAGTTTAACTACGATGCCTTGAAATATCGCTAGGTTCTGGAACAGAGCGTTCAAATTACAGTCTTTGGTGGTGCACAAGCAAACTTCATTTGAGAGGCAAAAACACAAACCAAGCAGAACAAACTCAATACAAAAATGCTATATATATATATATATATATATATATATATATATATATATATATATATAAACACACAATATATTTATTCTCCCTGACGGAATGTATAAAATGCAGTTGACACCAACAAGCTTTCAACATATGATATAATGGTATAATTAAGAAAAAAAAATCAATTCACACATGCATAAATGATAATTTCACACCTTAAACCGTGTCAAGCTTCAGCACTAAAAATACTAGCTCTATTATATGTATATATATATACTCATATGTGTCTATACATCAAATACTGCATGGTCTGCTCAGGCTAAGATGAATCCATGACCCTGAATCAAAGACCGATAGTTGCATTTGTGTCTTCATCTAGTCGAAGCCATGCCCACCACACAAAACACAAACACACACAAACCCGAAGAACTAAATACACAGACAAAAAGAAAAACAAACCTTTAACTATATAGATTGTATTGCAGTTTTACTAAACAGTACAAATACTGTTAGATTTGTAGACTTTTCTCAATAGAAATTCAAAGAATTCTCTACACAACTAATAAATTCAAGATAACAACAACAACAAAAATTTGATCAAAACAACAAAATCAACAGCAAGCATTCGCAGCAGCAAAAGCTGGCTGTTCTCCTATGAAGTAACGAAAAGTAACTCACTACATCTCAAATATACATTGGATCCAAAAATAAGCACTGCAGTTTGTGCAATGCAGTACATTGATGCCTATCTATGCATGAAATAAAACACCAGTGTGTATATACATTACACACACACACACACTCACACAAAAAGAATGCATGGACTGATTCGAATTGCAAGTGCTGCAGTCCAGGACACGTACACACACAAACACATTGTATACACACAGAGAGAGTGTAGTAGAACAAACAACTGCCGATATATATAAGGCACTATGGCTGGGGACAACAATGCAGCGAGCCTCTCGACACAAAGAGCCCCTATAGGCTTCTCTCTGATCAACATCATGCAACACATGCAGAATGTGATGAACGACTCTTTTAGGAGACTCCATTCCAAACGACACCAAAGACACCGAGAAAAGTACAAATACTTGGAACGCAAGAAAACACGGCAAGTGGACACATTTCATCAGTTGTGAACACCACACTGGGCTGTCTTTACAAACAAAGATGTGTTGTATACAAGGTAAAGGCAATGTATAAAAATAAGTTGACGATCACATGATTTTGGACACCATCCATTGTTGATATTCATTAGAGGAGCGTTCAAATCTGAAGATCTGAAAATCCGATAAGGTAATCAAATGTGCAAAACAGTTTTTTTTCTTATTTATCCAATCTCTTGCTTCTCAACCGTGCACATTCTTTATCTACATGCTAAAGACTTTCCAAACGTTTCCTTTTTAAAGCTAATTTTAATTGCACTGAAGTCTGTGTGATTCAGAGAAACTGCTTCCTTTCTTTCTTGTGCCATGGCTTCGGGTGGTTTCTACAGAGAGCCTGGCACCACGCCTGCCATAGGGTTGCAGAGCGAGTCTCTAGATGTATGGGTATTGGTTTAGTTTGGTGGGACTGAGGGGGAAGCCTGCGTATGCGGGTGATGCGATGAAGGAGTGTGGCGGGAACAGGGGCTTGAATTGGCCTTGAGGGTGGAGGGTGGGTGAGGGCAAGAGGCGGTTGAGCCCCACAGTGACCTGGTGCACGAGGTGGCCTGCCGGATGGGAGAGGCCATATGCCGTTTGAAAGACGTGATTCCGTGTGGACCCAGGTGAAGCCAAGAGGTGGGCCATGGGGGCATTTGTCACCAGGGGGCCTGAAGGGGGGTAGGACAGTAAAGTTGGCTGGGTGTGAGGGTGGATGCCCAGGTGTGATTGAGGAGGGTGGGCTGTGTGGGTGGGACTAGCATGAGGCAGAGTGAAGGTGTGGCCATGTACGGTGGGCGGGATGAATGCTTGAGGGCGGCGGTGGCTGTAGTTGCCGTTCCACTCCTGGTGGGATGAGCCATAATGCTGGACCTAAAGCATGAACCAATCAGTTTATTCCAAGAAAGAACAAATGGCAATCAAGTCATAACTAAGACTGGGTTGTTGTAAGTAAGGACGCACCAATATGGAAGCCAATCAGCCAATAATTATTTTTGTTATAGCCGAGAACCAATAAATGGCCAACCATTTTTTGTTTTAAAAGGGTCATGACATGAGAAATTAAATTGTCCTTAATCGTTTGAGAGGTCTTTGTACCATTAAAACAAAAATGCCAGTACAAAAAAAAAAAAGCATTAATGTAACCAAGCTCCAAAAATTGCTCGTTTAAATAGTGGGATTTGTGACGTCACACGTGCAAATACATTAGCAAATGACTGCCCGTAGAGCAAGGCATCATCTAATCTTTTTACATTATCATACCATTTGGCCAAGGCCAATGGCTGACACCTGTTTACACCGGACGCAAGCATAGAGTCGCATTAAAAGCAAATATAATTATTATAATCAGTGACGCTGTCTACAGTGGATCCCGTATACAGATGCCCGTTCAATTTGTGATTTACTCAACATGCTTGAGCTACTCCCAAAAACAGGACAAATAGAAGCGTAAAAGAAAATTCGCTTTGATACATCCGGTTTAAACAGCGTGTTAGTGTCTGTACAGCCGTCAGAAGAACACCAGCGTCAGGAACAAGTGGATGGTTTATTTTTAACTTTGTGTGCAAAAACTTTATTATTATTATAAGTGAACCTCAAGGAACATAATTAAATGATTGTAAAAAAAGATCCACGTCATGACCCATTTAATAGATATTAAAATTCGAATTTTTCCAATTTATAAAATTAATTTACAATGTACATAAAAAAACACATTCATTTTGAGATCTGCTAAAGATTATAATTTAACAATATTATTTTGCCAATACATTTTTTTTCACATCGCTTCTCCTTAAAATAAGTGTGGCGGTAAAAATTGTGGCAAAATGCTCCATGTCAAAAGGCCTCAAGAAGTTTTTGAACACCAATTCGATTTAAATTCGACCAATTCGAACACAAGACATCTCAGCTTTTAATTTATTTATTTTTTATATATATTTTTCGCGTTAGTACATAGTAGTGGTATCTAAATATAATATCTGACTTTACAACAACCAATAAAATAAGAAGTGCAGCAGGTTTAGAAACAGGTGAGGAGGAACTGACCTGTCCAAAGGAGAGCTGGTGTTGAGAGTGCTGCAGGGGTGGGAAAGCCTGTGTGGTCTTCCGTTGGTGGTTCACCAGTAATGTTGAGTAGGGCGGCTGTCTGTTGGAACCACTGCGGCCTTTGGGTGGGCATGATGGCTCTATAACTACAATGGAAGAAAGAGCAGGCAAAAGTAGCCGTCACTACTTGAAAACCTCATAAAATAGTGCTAGATAAGTTTACACTTCTTGCAAGAGGGATTCAGAACAACAAATGGCAAAATGAAAAAGATATTCCAAAAAAGAAGAAAAAAGAAACCACATCAATCAAACTTGCCCTGTTTTCTAATATTTACACCAGAGGCATTAGTTTGGAGTAAACCTAGTATTTAAAAATAGAAATTGAATTTGAAGCTAAACTGATTCCTATTTAAAGAATTCACCCCGAAACAGCAGTAAAAAAAAACAAGAAAAAAACACCCATTTTCAGTCATTAGCATCATATACATCAGGAATTCCCAAACTGCATGGGGTTTAAGAGTTGATAAAAAGCTAATAATGAATTAAATCAATGTACAATTCAAGTAAATAAATAAATAAAATCACTTGCTAAAAAATACTTTTTGTTTACCTATATGATGTGACCATTAGCTGAGAGAACCGTGACCATGCAAATGTGTTGTTAAATTATTGAAATATTAACTTTTTATTTCAAGATTTGGCTGACCAAAATGGGAATCTCTAATATACATAATCGTTGGCAGTTGGTAGGGTGGCCTAATGGCTTCAGTGAGCCCCTCATCTCCAGTACACAAAAAACTGACAAGCATTGTGACCCAACAAATGTGTTCTGGTCCAAATGTTTTATTGCAAATGGAGACTGTTGTCCATGATGATTGTTTTTGTCTGTGTATGATTATAACTTCTGTTGTGAGTATATTATTCAAACCAGGCTGCTGCTTCAAACTAGGGCTGCTTGTCTCCCTTTAGGAGTTGGGACATTTTTCCCCTGTCTGTCTTATGGTTGACACTCACAAACTATTTTTTTTCATACAATATGAATTTGAACTGGGTTTGTCAGTGATGTACTTTGAAAGATTTGGTGGGATTGGTTACCTTTGCGGCCCATCAGCTCATTATTCTGAACCCGCATGGGCGGCACCACCATGGTGCGGATGGGCAGCTTGGCAGACTCGGTCTCTGTAGTTCTATTGGCTTTGCAGTTCTGGTTGTTGTCATTAATATAGGTGGCCTCCAGGAAGGGGCTGTCAGCTCGACTGGAGGACACCGACGCAGGCGAGCCATCCACCGTATCACATCCACTTTCGCGCTCATCATCTGACATACTGAACACAGACCAAATCAATCACTCTCAGACACACAGAGCAAAGAACATACTCACTGATAAACAGTGCTCAGAATGGAACACTAGTATGCACTGATTAAACAACAACAACAACACAAGTATGTGAAACTATGCAGTACGCGACAAACATTCTATAAAATTCAACATTGTCACATGGCCTCTTTACTTTACATGTTTAATTTAGTGAGTAACTAAATCTACTTATCACAAAGATAAGGATATCATGTAATTTAGTTTGCAATTAATGATTTTGTATTTAAAAATATTTAATCACTATTAATTAAAAAAAATAAAAATCAGAATCATCAATCTGCTAGATAACAAATTGAAAAAAAAAAATATATAGGGGCATTTTTCCTTCTAATATTTTAAATATTTGAGGCAGTTTGGTCTCTTTCATTATCATTTTTGCCCAAGGCCTAGTTAATTTCAAGGAAAATCCTCAACTTGGTAAAAAAAAATAAAAAAAAGTCAAAATTATGTCAAAATGCCCATTTTGTCAAGTATCCTCGTAAGCACAGTCTTAGATTAGTTAAAGTCTTAAATGAACAAAGAGTTATGAAAATGTGATGCATCAGATCAGTGTCGTGCGGCAGGTCTTAAAGTGACAGCAGCCTAATAAACCCCCTGCTGTCTGTCATTAATAATCAAACAACAACAGAAAGAGACAATAACTCCCTGCTCTTGACTGAATAACACACGTTCACGCAATAACATCGGCTCTCATATCAACACAGCACACATGTATCGTTCTTAACCCTTTGATGCGTACGATCACACCGGTGTGATCAGTCTAGCCTAGTCCCAGATGCGCTCAGCGCTAGTCATATCACAACTATTCAGTGTTTTCAATCACATAATGTTTATTTTAGGTTTCAGACATTTAAATACACATAAGTACGAGCAAAACAATACATTCATAGTTTGTAAAATACACACTGATGTCTATGGAATCGGCTATAATAATCCTTTCCAATATAATTTGACGAAGTGTTTTAAATTGTAGAGGTAACTATAACGTTTACTCTATTCTTCTCCCAGTTCACCGGTCACTTACTTTCATGTATTTCGGGAGAAGTTGGTGAATTTATGTGATGTAAATCTGACACATCCGATTCTCTGAATTGCGGTGCAAACTAAAATGGCGGCGCCCATCGCACGTTATAGATCAGCTAACATTATCATTATAAAGGTTTTTAAACGAAAAAACATTCGCTTACACGCATTTGAGAATCAGAATATCAGATAGTTCATGATATAGTTAACAAGTTTGTGAATATTTGAATAAAAAGGGGAAAAACTAAATAAAAGCAAAACATCTCTCATACAGCACTATTGTGGCTGCGGTGTGTCACATGACAAGCATGACGCGTCGCCACGGAAATAATAAGGTGATACGTTCTAAAATAAATGTCGCCTTAAACTCACGCTGGGGGCTGAGCTAGAATATTTTAAACTTGCGTGCGAAAGGGATTACTTTGGGCTCAAATCCTCATTCAGACAGTAGTAAACGTGAGTGCATGAAATACAGACCTGTTGGGTCTCTTGCAGGGGGAGGAGCTGGACTGCTCTGAAGCTGATGAACTGGTACTAAGGGTTGAATCGGGACTGCTCAGGGAACAAACCCGCTCCATATTGAGGGTGCTCTTACATGCCTCACACTCCGGACTACCTTTACACCTGAAACGCAGTGGGTGCACACACTCTAACACTGCCTTTACAAGCCATTTATCACATATACAGCTCAGCAACATTGCAAACATCCCTCTAATGATTTGTATTGAAAATATAAGCCTCAATTTATCAAATTCAGTAGCACCTCATTGCAGTACATGAGATCCAGGGGGCGGAGTTGGATCCAGATCTAAGGGGTGGAGATGGGTAGGATTAGGGGTGGGGTTAGGGATCAGGGGGCGGAGATGGGTAGGTTTAGGTTTAGGATCCGGATCCAACTCCTCCCCCTGGATTTCGTGTTCTGCAGTGAGGACCATCTCATCAAATTCAGCTGAGGTTTTCCAAATATAACATAGCTCCGTATCATAAGTCATGCTGCAATGTTCTCTTCTTCACCCTATCACCCTGTCTCCTTCCTTCCATGGTACACTGAAAGAGATATGATGTATGGCCAGAAGTATGTGGACAAGTTTCCAGTAGGGCTGGGATGGTTACCGCATTACCGCAATACCGCGGTCACGTGACTCCAACCGCGGGTCTGAGCTCGTCACCGTCATCACCAAAAAAAAAAAAAAAAAAAAAACATTGGCCTGCACATGTGTGCACGTTGTGTCTAATGATATGGATTCATTGATTCTAATGACATGGATTATTTCTAATGATAGTGTGTCTTACATGGATTCAAGGTTTTCTAAACAAAACTTATCAAAAGATGGAGCAAATCCCTTTCGCGAGTTGGGGAGCGCAATGTTCCATGACACATAGCATTACATTCGTATTAGAGATGCGCGGATGGGCTATTATTATTTCATCCGCAACGGAACCGCAGCACAAAACTCATCATCTGTCTGGTGTTCATCTTTCATTTCGTTCAACATCATAATGTATTCTCCTGAAAATGATGAATTCAATGCGAATGTATCTGAGAATATTCTTAAATAAGGAAATCTATTCAGTGATTGGTTCATGCCAAATTACAGCTTAATGAAAATTGGACTCTTTCAAATTGTGCTAGTTTTTTTCGGATGTAGGTGAAAATATTTAACAAAGTCTGTCTAGCAAAAACGCCTTCCGGTGAGTGCGCGGAAGTCTGTCGGGGGGGGGGGGGGGGGGGGGGGGTGGGGGGGGGTGTTTAAAGCGGTTTACCGCTATACCGCGGGAATATCTTGCTTTTCAACCGCGGTTAGAAAAAATACATACCGCCCCAGCCCTAGTTTCCAGTAATTCAGTGTGTAAAAATATTCAAAGCTTACTACTTCCACCTTGTGCTCCATTAAAGTTTTTTTTTTCTTGAGCAACATTAGGGCGAGTAAATTCTGACATTTTTCTTAGGGTGAACAATCCTATGTATTAGACAGGTAACTCACTCTAGTGAATGTTTCTGAGAGTCCGGCCCCTCCTCATCTGTACCACTGCTGATACTGATGACGCTGCCAGCAGGACTGGGAGAGTCAGCGATCACAATGGTCTGCCTCTGCTTCTGAGACACAGTCGATTCCTCGTACTCTTGTTTCGCCTTACAGTATGTAGGCTCCTCCTCTGGCACCACCTCTACTACACATTCTGCTGCCTCTTCCTCTGTGTTTTTGGCACCGTCTACCATCTTTGGGGACTGGCATGATGAGTTTTGGGAATTGGTGCTGTGCATGAAGTTGTTACTTCTACGTGGGATGATAATGATGAATTAGATAGGTAGGCATGACAAAAATGTAATAACCGATGTCAACTACTTTACTACTTTTGAGCTTGCTGATAGCCACTTGTAGCAAACAAAGCATAGTGGCAAATGTTTGATCAACCTAATCAAGATGTGTATATATATATATATATATATATATATATATATATCCAACAGTATGGAATGCAAAGTGTGTCACTTCAATTGATTCAATTCATTTGAAAATAAAAAGTAAACAAATAACTTACCAAGAATCTGACTTTTGGGTCTGAAATCTTCACTAACATTTACCAAAAGTAAATTCTCTTTAAAAGGCTTTTTTAAAAGTTGCATGTAAAATGATTCTTTAAACAAATATTGATTTATTTAAACGATTATTTATCTTTGATGTATTTTTTGTTTAATTTCTTAATATTTGAAAATAAACAAACATTTCACTGTATTAATTCGCTTTAAGAAATTGACCAATAAAAAACACATCTGAAAAATGCTGATTAATGAATACAAGTGTACCGTTCGTCAAAAGGGTGTACAAAAAATTAAATGGTATTTATTTAACATTATAATGCAATTATAATTTTTAAACATTTAGAAAAATACACCCATTTATTGGACAATTTGTAGTGATTATTATTTTCTGACTTTTTAAATCAGTAAAAGTCATGATTGTGCTTTGAACAACGTTTACCTTTGCAATTTAAAAGTTAAAAATTATCAGTTAAAAGTTAAAGCTATTTAAAAAGTTATGTTTTATCATAACAATTTTATATGCAAGCATAACACTGGCAAAGTTCAGTTTGAAATGTATTATGTAAAATAGCAATATAATCCTGAACTTGAATAGATTTCCAATAAAATATTTGCAACATATATTGGTGCAAAATGAACATGAAATAATAGATTTTTTTTTACAATAGATTTAACATTATCAGTGTCCATTTACTGACCGTTTCATTTTTTATTGTGTAATAAATTGATAATAATTTATTTCTTTTTAATTGAAAAGGGAATAAATAATAAACAAATAAATCAATACTTTTTTTTTACCCAAAAATGTATTAATGTTGATGTTTTGTCATGGGCCTAAAAAAAACTAATAAATAAAATAACTACTGCATTATTTTTTATACACTACCGTTCAAAAGTTTGGGGTCAGTGAGAATTTTATTTTTATTTTTTGGAGGAAAGAAATCAATACTTTTATTTATCAAGGAATAATTAATTTGATCGAAAGTGACAGTAAAGACATTTATAATGTTACAAAAGTCTTTTGAACTTCCTATTCATCAAAGAATCCTAAAAAAAAAAACTACAACTGACAGACCAACAACTGTTTCAACATTGATAATAATAATAAATGTTTCTTGAGCATCAAATCCTCATATTATACTGATTTGTGAAGGATCATTTGACACTGAAGACACTGACACTGGTGATGCTGAAAATTCAGCTTTGATCACAGGAATAAATTACACTTTACTATATATTCACACAGAAAACAGCTGATTTACACTGGAATAATATTTAATACTATAACTGATTTTTGTTGTATTTTTAATCAAATAAGCGCAGCCATGGTTAGCAGAAGAGAATTCTTTTAAAAGTATTTAAAATCGTACCGACCCCAAACTTTTGAACGGTAGTGTATTTAACTGCATATTTACACGTAAAAAAAACCTCAATTTTATTTTTTATTTTTTAATGAATTGATTTATAATCGGTTCCTTCATTTTTTTTTTTTTTTAAGTGGCACTCCTAGCCCTCCATACACTGACAGCATGTCCAGATATGGTATGTGGATTAACCTGTTTGAAGATGGTTTATTTCTCTTGTTAGCAGCTGGCTGTGGCCACACCACATGAGCTATCCCTATGCTGATAGGCTGGTGAGCAGACATGGCCATTGGGTTTGTTAACAGCGGCTGGTGGGGCATCATGGAGCTGTAATGGTTGCCATGGGAATGAACTTTCCTGCAAAAGATGGGAGAGAAACAAAGCCTTTCAGTGTGGAGGAAAGTGTACAAAGAAAGATGACTCACACAAGAGCTTGAAAAGCGTTTTAATATCGGAAACAGATAAATAGAGCAGTGCAAGTACAATGACAGAGAGGCTTGTTTCACCCACCCCCATTCTGCTAGTCTCTGCGGACCTGCCACTGTGTCTGAGGCCAATGTCGCTGCTGAAGGGGCCACCTGAGGCCAGGTGGGCACCAGGATTTGCTGAGGACGATTTGACCACGCCTGCTGTAAAAAAAAAGAAAAAGAAAAAAAAAAGGCATGCTAACTTCCTGAAATGGATAACATAACTCAAAATGTGTCCTTGTCACCTCCTTAAAGTAGCATTTAAAGACTAAAAGGATAGTTAACCCAAAAATGAACATTCTGTTATTAATTACTCACCCTCATGGCGTTTCAAACACGTACCACAAATGAATCTTCGGAAAACAAATTAAGATCTTTTTAGTGAAATCTGAGGGCTTTCTGTCCGTCCATTGACGCAACTACCAATTTCAAGCCACAGACAGGTAGTAAATACATCATTATAGTAATCCATTTGACTCCAGTGGTTTAACCTCAATTTTATCAAGAGACACAAGTGCTTTGTTTGCACAAAAAAAAACATAACTTACCACTTTATTTACAAAATATTAATCTCCAACGCTGGTTTACGAGAGCACCACAACGCATGTGTGTTATGTTGATGCAAAAGAAGACGTCGTTGCATTAACGTGCGTCGGAGCTTAATACTTATATTAATAATTTACTACTTTATTATATGTTTTTTTGCGTCACATGGATTACTTTAAAGATGTCTTTACTACCTAACTTTCCAGGGGGCTTGAAAGTGGTAGTTGTGTAGGCTGTCAATGGAGGGACAGAAAGCTCTCAGATTTTATTATAAAGATCTTCATTTGTGTTCTGAAGATGAACGAATGTCTTACAGGTTAGGAACGACAAGAGGATGAGTAATTAATGACAGAATTTTCTTTTTCGGGTGAACTAACCCTTTAATACACTGACAAGTATTTTTTTTGTGTCCAGTAACCATGTCAATAAAATATATGCAAACAATACATTAAATAAGTTACTTTTCCTGTAAGCCCGATATTAAACAACTGACTAAATGGAAGAGTGTGATTGTTGATAAAAGTTTGTTTATTTATCAATCAATCCCTATTTGTGTTTACCTGTGTAATGACCCCTGGTCTGATCTGAAGAGGCTGGATGGCAGAGGCTTGTGTCACCAGTGGTACTGTGCTCTCCATGCGCACAGAGAATCCCGCTGGCTTATTTGGGTTAGGTGGGAGACCTGTGACATGAGGCATGTTTATTATTGTTAACTAATATTTTCATTTTAGTTTAAGTTGAAATACTAAAATTAACTAAAAACTAAAACTACAGACATACGTGACTCGTGCTGGCAAAATGAGCACATTTTAAAAATGAGTTATTGCTGTTTTCACATTCTCTATTAATAAACCTTCAGATTTATATATGTTTTGTTTGAATCTGACAATAAAAATAATTCAATAAGCTACACCTGTTTGAAGTTGATAGAGTCAGCAAAGTAAATTTTGAAAAAAAAAAAACTAGTAAAAGTTTTCTGAAGGTTCCAAAACAAACCAAAAAAATCCAAAATCACCTAGCAACCAACCATAACCATAAAATCCCTGGTAATAACACCAAATTTGGCACACACCAAGTTAAAACCCATATCTATATGGAAAATATATGTTACAGTATGAGAAGCGCGTCACTGGTTAAGGGCTACCCATGTAGCAATAATAACAATAACTAACAAATTCCCCATGTTAATTCTGTGAAATCATTTTCATGATTTTTTTCTGCAATCGATTAATTGATGATAATTGAATCGCTAAAACTTCGATTTTCGATTAAGCAAGGTCATGTGCATGTGTAATGCAGGCGAAAGGAAAAATGAAGCGAGTGCGCCGGAGTAATGTTTGGGATCATTTTGTGCATTTGCAACCTTGTTGTTTTGTGCAAATGTAAGTTGTAATATTGTGTTCATTTTGAGTAGGGCTATATATGATTTCTCACACATAGGATGCATTTGGTGAAGAATTAACATGGTTGTAAAACGCACTGGTTGTCAGCTTCAGCGCACACAGCTCAAACAGCAATGCACGACTAATAATATCTATGATTGGGACTGTCATATTATATAACATTATAATGAAAACACTATTGTAATAAATCGTAGTGAATTTATTGGGTTTAGTTGCAGCGTTGTTCCAGGAAGAGAAAGTCCACAACAGGAATTACACATTCTGACTAGCTGGCATCTGAGGCGCGTAGGTGACAGTTGTATTAGTCGTTATATTTGATTATTAAATGAGTAATTTAATTAAATGATCAATCCCATCGACTCATTTTACAATCCTACTAGCCCTTTATTTCAGACTAAAACCCTTCTAATTAATTTGGTGAGAAACATAGCATATGTTCTATATGGCTATATGCCACTGCAGTAGACACATATTGCATTACTAAGGCTAACTAACTATTAATCGATTAATTGACCGTTAATTCAAACGGCGATCGATCATGGGAATTTGTGTAAATTGACATTCCTAGTCCATGCCCAACAATTGCTACATTAATGTCCACAATCATCTTGTTTAGGTGGTGGCACATTACCACTGAACGTGCCGAACGCAAAACGCAGTGCATTTAAGTATTAGCCACCGACTGAACACTCTCACTATCATCCATTTCCATTACAAAACAGGTATACATCTACGAAATAGTTTACTTTTCGTGTTTTCAGAGGATGGACGCTTCCATGATACCACAATGTGCCACCGCGCGGGGTGTTTTGATGAAATCACTGAAGGCTTTATTGCGACTGGTTAGCAACAAGCTGGTTTTGTTTACATCAGCATGGGTTTGAAAATCCCATTTCATTGGTTCAGACTCACGACATGGAGAATTAGCTATGAATATTCACAAAGTTGGAAAGCATTTTTTTCATGGATTATTAAAACAAAGGAAAGATTTGTGAAGGTACACCTCTCAGAAAACATACACAAACATAATTTTGGATGTTTAATTGCTATTTGGATAATTTGGATTGTTAGATGAGGGCTTAATAAACTTATTTTTTGTGAAAAACTCAAATGCAACCAAAATTAACATTTTACTTGTTTTGCTGGTAGCATGCAATTAGCCTGTGAGCCTTTCAACCAATTTTGCCAGCACGGGTTACATATTAAATAGACAAAAAAATATATATATATATTATCAAATATTAACAAAAACTAAATTAGTACATTGATGATACTAAAATAATACTGACATGGAAACAAAATGACAAAAAAAAAAAAAAAAAAAAAAAAAAAAAAAAAAAAAAACGTTATAGTATCATTTTACTGTTGACAAACATTGTGGTTGATCTAGCTTGAATCTGATGACTGAAGGTAAAGTACCTTGAATGGTTGGGGGACAGAGAATAAGCGCCTGTTGGAAAGAGTCACCAAACTGTGCACTTCCTGTCTGGAGAGGGATTCCAGGATGCATCACTGATGGGGCAGATGAGCCTAAAGCCTACAGAAAGAGAAGAGAAAGAAAAAACAACATACAGTCTGAATGACAAAGATTAAAGGGGTCATATTCAGTTGCACTTTACTTTAGAGTCCTCTTATGCATGTACATACTATGTAATTACTATGTAATAACTGGGTAAAAACTATGTACTAATTCTAAACCTAACCCTAAACCAATGTAGTGACTTTATATCACTCAGTACTTTCTTGCGTACACTGAAAGTGCACATATTGGAAAATAAATTGCAACTTCATGCTATAGTTTTTTTTTTTTTTTTTTTAAGTTTCATCAAATGTTTCTGTGGACACACATTAAAGTGAATTAATGTCCAGTAATGTCCAATAGAGGGCGACATGGTGTTAATAGACAGAACATCAGTATTGCCCTGATGAAACTATTTGACATTACATAATTTTTTGTATATAAGACCTAAAAATATTTAAATATATATAAATCTTCCCGTTCAAAAGTTGACATGCTTGGTTCTTAATATTACAAGAGAATCATACAATTACAAATGGCTGCAAGCAGTCACTAATGTAAAAGGAAGAAACGACATTTGAACAGGATAATGTGTTATAATAACGTTATTTTTTTAATGATGTCTTTATTGTGCGTTGACTTTAAGTCAAAAGTATGGTCCAAAAAGTTAAGAGAAGATATCATCGCCCTTCACAAACAAGGAACAGGCTACAAAAAGATAGCGAAGGCACTAAATGTTCATAGAGACAGCATAGTTGGCAAGTTCAAAGATAAAGGAACAGTGGTTATGCTACCTAGATGGGGCAGAAAATGAAAGCTATCAATGGCTGCAACCAGATTTCTGAGAAGGCAGGTTCAGAAAACCCCCTGAGTGACTGTAAAAGACCTACACCAGGACTTGGTGGCAACAGGCACTGAGCTTTCAGCTGCACAGTAAGGCGCGTAGTCGCGTACTAAACGCATACGGTTTCCATGCCAGAACTCCAAGACGTACACCACTACTGACCCAAAAAGCACAAGAAAAGTCAGCTCCAATTTGTTCAAAATCATATAAATAAGCCACAGAAGTTTTGAGATTCTGTTCTGTGGAGTGATGAAACAAAACTGGAACTTTTCGGCCATATGGATGCATGTCTGAAGGAAGAAGAATGAAGCATATGCTGAAAAGAACACTTTGTCTACAGTTCAGCATTGTGGTGGCTCGGCGATGCTCTGGGATTGCTTTGCATCCTCTGGCACTGGAAACCTGGAGCGTGTGGAAGGCAAGATGGATTCATTGAAGTTTCAGGAAATCCTAGGAGAAAACATCATGCCGTCAGTGAGGAAGCTGAAGCTTGGGCGTAATTGGACCTTCCAGCAGGACAATGATCCCAAGCATACCTTAAATTCCACCAAGCCTTGGTTGCAGAAGTCATCCTAGAAGATTCTATAGTGGCCATCACAGTCACCTGACTTGAACCCCACAGAAAATCTCCGGTGGGATTTGCAGAAGACGGTTTCAGCACGCAAACCCAAGAATATTACTTAACTGGAGGCCATTGCTCATGAGGAATAGGCTAATGTTCCTCAGAAATGCTGCCAGAAGCTGGTGTCAGGTGATCTCATTTGAAGCTGGTCATAACAGCAAAATCGATTACAACTGTACTTACAGCATAACACTACAGGCAAATCCCCTGGATTTTTTCAAGCACTGGATAATTCTGAGATTTTGGTCTAGCCTGAATAAAGACAAATTGTGGCTTCAAAATAGTGGAAAGAAAACATAAAATACACATTTAAGTGTTTATTTTATAACACTTTATATATTTACAGGTCTTTAGATCAACGTTCACATACTCCTGAGCAACATAGCCATAACTCCAGGGTACAGAATAAAACAAACAGTGTGTTAGCAGTGTGAACGTGATCAAAGAGTGTGAACGTAACCAAGGCAACTCCTTCAGAAGCCACACAATCAATGTTCTTCTTTTCCAACTAACTGTGAACAGCTGACTGTATTTACATCTTTTAATTCAATTTACCAGTTTTCAAAATTGAAAGTTACAAAAGTCAAGGAGAGCCACATTATGTCGTAAAAACCAAACTACCACGCTTAAAAGATCATCAAAATATCATCAATAATCAGCGTGTCATCTTAGATCAGTTTGGTGTGTGTAGAAAGTTTTCTGCCGTGTCTCTCCTTGGAAACCAAATGTCCTTTCCATGTTGCCATGATGTCAGTAATGTTGCCGTGACAACGGCAATAAGGGTTCAAGTTTGTGAGATAAGAAAGACCAGAATTCAGAACTGACAAGAGCCATTTATATTATGGACAGCATTAAAGACTACAACAACACATACTACTTTACAGCTTGCAAAAATGCTTGTTTCTAAAAGCCGGTTTTTAATAGGAAAGTTTATATTGGCCATGAACACACTGCAGCTAAATTTGGTTGTCAATTCACCTTTTAGTGCTTAATCCTGTTCCGAATTTACTCCTGAAAAATTCAGGTAGTGACAACCGCATTTACAAAAATTCTATGTAGTGTGTACGGAGGCGAACTGACCAACTAGTTGTTAATGACATACGACTAGAGATATGAAAGATGACAGATGAAAGATACTTCTCTGATGCATACTTCAACGTGCATCAGAGGATTTATCTCTCGTCTGTATGTGTGGTGCAAGAAATCACAGGGAAAGCAGTACAAGCCTGACTCATTCGTGCTGGCATACATTACAGGCAAATCAGCGAACAAGAACAAGCCTATAAAAAAAAAATGAAATAAATGGAAATGCTTTAAGCTGAAAATAAGAATATCACGACCTGCACCTGCTCACTTTAATAACTCCAGAAACTCGATCGCTGTATGAGCCAAGCTTAAACAACAATCCCAATAACACTTATAATAAGTGGGCATGGCAACAATGCAAGAGCACGCTCTGTGAAGCAGCCTTTAAAGTAGGGTGACCAGAAGTCCCATTTTCCCCGGGACAGTCACTTATAAAATGTATTAACAGACTTATTATGAAGAAAAAAATATATGTCGTATTTCTTCTTTCCTAAATTATCTTTGCTAGGTGATCATAAAAGCGAGTAGTGGTCTTGTCACGCGTGAATAGCCTAATCAAAGGTGGCCAAGCTCGTTATATTTTGGAGAACAAAATTACCATCCAATCACAATTCGTTATCGATTAACTTGCAGTTAGATAAGGCGGGATATAATAAAAACGCAAAGATGTCAAAGAAACGTGTGTACATTTAACGAGGATCTTCAAAAAGAGTTTATCAAGTTATTATGCGCAGTAAGTTGGGGAAAAAAAACCTCAATGTATCGCGCTGAATGACACGCACCAGAAACGCTCTCTTCGACAGCACTGCACACAATCCCAAATTCAGTTCTCTTTGCACTTAAATGGTCAAATACAGACACAGACACATTATGTGGATTATCTTAAGTAAATACAGTCGATTATGGCTTAAATGAACGTAAACAATGGTTTGGTGAAAACTGGATGTGTGTCAGTATAATATATCAAAGCATTCGGTCTCAAAGTGACAGCGGCCTAAACTACCTATCTGTGTCATTCATGTTAATCAAACAACTAAAGATGTTAAATAAATGTATACATGTTAAATAAACCTACTGTAACTGAAAAACGTAGTTTATTTAATGTGTATCTATCATATTTCTCCTATTCTTTGTAATTTGCCTCATCCATGAACAATGTCCCATCGGACTGCTTTCCATCGGCAGTGGAGATGAATATGACAACTCCCATCATTCCATGCTCCTTCACACCGTCAAGCTACGCCTTTGTTATTGTTTTGAATATGCGACCTCTAACAGTGAAAATTACATACTGCGCCTTTAAGCACAAACAAAACACGATGGCTCTGTCGACTGTGCTTTAGTTAAAATTGCTGAACAAAATGAGTCTTTTGTCACTGTAATATTTCTTTGGTCAGAATAGTGGATAGCAAACACGTGAGACGCCAGAACGGTGTCAATCATCGCAGTTTTGGGAGCGAGTCATGTTCTGTACACATAAGGAACGATAATTTAGGGGACCCACTCCCGCATTTAAATGTGGTTGTCACTCCTGAAATTTACAGTGTGTACGTGGCCATTGAGGCTTATTATGACTGTAGTGAGGCAGCGTGTGCTGTGACAGCCCTGTTTTGACAGCCTGTCATCACCTGCGCTGAATGGAGCATGTCATGCGGAATGAGTCAACGTGACTCTCCACATGTTAAAAAAATAAAAGGCAAGAAACAGAAGTCACAATGAAGGAACAAAGTGACAGGAGTGCAAGACAGAGCAAAAGGAAGAAACTAAAGGATAGATGATGTAATACTGTATCTGTCGGGCAAATGATCCAGCACATGAAAATTAAAGTGTGCAAACCATAAAAGCAATCATACAGATACAAATAATAAATATATATATATATATATATATAAATATAGCTGCGAGCAGCGATTACGGGCCCAAGCCGGTGGCACCGCAACCCCGGTTCCTTTAGTTACCTAAAGGCACCGGGGTGGCGGTGCCGCCGGCTTTGGCCCATCATCGCTGCTCGCAGCTATATTTATATATATATATATATATATATATATATAAATTATATATATATATAAAAAAAAAAAAATATATATATATATATATATATATATATCACTTGCCTTACCGGATTAGAACAATGAAAACAATAAAAAAATAACTAGGGAATCACTAAACCGAGAGAATTAATCTGTTTTGATGATACACTCAAAATATTACACAAGCAATTCTTTAAATTTAATGATATTCAGAACAGAACAAGAATAAAAAAAAACTATAATTAAGAAATAACCGAAATAATTGAAAGCGAAAGTGAAAGTAGGTGGTGTTTGGCTCACGTAACTCTCTCATTAGAATCAAACTGTTTCAACATTTGCGATGTATTTGGATGCTAAACTATTCTTCATTATGGGCTTTGTACTTCACTCAGGTTTCAATATGTGTGTGTGTGTGTGTGTGTGTGTGTGTGTGTGT